TGACCTATTGACGTTTTTGTTAACCTGAAGATGGACTTATTTTCAAGTCCGGAACTATAGTAGTCAAGGGTGTTCCTAGACATATATTTTGGGGGGGGGGTCACTGGTGGGCCTGGGGGGGGGCCAGCAAAGTAGGGGGGTCCGGGGGTTCTCCCCCGGGAAAAATTTGGAAATAACGTGCTAAAATGAGTGGTTTTTAAGCTATTTTGAGGACCTAGTTTAATGTGTTCAAGCTTCCCAGTTTATTTAAAGGTAAAATAAATGTCTAAAAATAAACTTGTATAATGTCATGTTTTTGCATTATTGAGACTTGTGGTTTTAATATCAAAGGAATTCCGCAACATTACAACACATTCAAGCATTATTGATTCACGAAAACACCCTTTCAACTGGTGCCAATGTGCATGCTAAACAGAAAATGTCCAAAATCAGACCAAGATTTCAAAAAAGAGAACTTATTTTATCTAAGAAGTGTTTAAGAACTTGCACCAAACACGACTGCATTATACCTGCCCATAAGCAACAGTTAACCTACACAAAGTACACTACCCAACTAACGTTGTGTCGGCGTCCCGTCACTGCTACCGCCTGAAGAATTGGTTCTCAGTGTTCTAATTTTTTCCTACGCCAGTGCCAGTGGCATTTTACAAGGGGTCAACGTGAGAATAAAGTTTTTTGTGCAACGTTTTTGTGGTTGTGCCGGGAATTAAATCCGTCCCCTCCGCATCTAAGTCTGAGACACTACCATTTTGTTGTTGTTTTGTGGCTAGCAACATGCCTATTGGGTTGTGTTATTCTTAAATATGATATCAGGTGCTCTAAATATGAATACTATTTAATATTGAAAGTTTTGAAATTTGCTACGGTAATCATTGAATTACATTACTGTAATAACAAATTTCTAACGCTGAACTCAGATAAATTGATTTAATCTACCTTTCAAACTTTGACTATTGATACAACTTCTTTTCTTTATCCAATACCCAATTCAAGTTTTCAAACATCTGGGTTAAAATGAATTATAACATTAAATGCCGAAAAATTAAATAAGAAGCTTAGAAGCTAAGAAATTAAATGAGCTTTCACTCCTACCTTTTATTTATTGTTTATTCGTTACACTTCTTTTTAACGCTTTTAGAATTAAGTTTAGCTGCCAAAACACTCTTGTTATTAATAAGTGCCTGCCACGAACCGCCTTAGAACTAGTTTTCATAATTAATTCATTGTACTTAGAAAACAAAACAAAAGTAAAAGAGAAAAATCTGTAAACTTTGTTTGTCATTTTTTTGAATCTATTGGTCCTCGCCGACAAGTTTTGTAAACTTGGCGAGGCCATGCTTGTAACATCCTAAATAAATATATTTATTATTATTATTATTATTTATTTTTATTATTATTATTTATTTCCAAAAAATACAAATTTACAACACATAAATTCCAAGCCACAAAAGCCAATATGGCTTGTCTGCAGCAATTTGAATTTGAATTTGAATTTGAAGAAGAAGAATGCAGCCGAACGTCGAACGTCCGCATCGGACACTGCCGTTGCCATATATGGCTGAAAGCGTCCGTTGTCTGCCGATCTTCCCTACTTTTCAAAACGTACAAAAACATAGTCAGACTTGAACGATCCCAAGTTTTAGGTTAGACTTTGTAATTAGTCCTTTCGTTCGCTACAAGTGTAAAGACTACAACAAATTTCAATTTGGTAAAACGATTTGCAATAAAAATTATTAATGTTTCCCTGGTATAATAGTTTATGTATATAAAAAATATTTTGGGGGGGTCATGACCCCCCTGACCCCCCCCCCTGGGACCGCCCTTGATAGTAGTGTAATACTGAAGCAGGATCACTTGACGAAGCCAGGTAACTTAAACCATTTAGAAAAGAGTCTTCGGTTACTAAGGAAGTTCTAGGAAATAGGTAAAATACATTTTTGATTGGAATATTAGCTACATTTTTTCTTGACCGAAATCATTGTGATCTAATCATTGGATGTAGGAAGGGTTAAAATTATGGTTATACACTTCTGGCCATCTAATTAGGGTTTACAAGAGTAAGGTTCTGAATTTGAATCCAAAGACAGAGCAGTGAATAGTTTTTAACTTGAGTTTAAAAAGTATCCTCTGAGTTAGAACTGACAGACAATGTGACTATCTTTAAACTCAACTTTTGTCTGAATTCTGAAATGAACTGTGGTAAAACTAGACATATTCCATTCCTGTGTTAAAAGTTTTGAAAAGTTTTAAAATAAATATAAACACATTTGGACTGAACCAATGATAGATGTGAATTATTGGTTTCAGACAAATACACTGACTTTTTAACCAGGGCTGCGTTAAGGATCAGTGGAGCCCTGGGCAAACCCAAAAGTAGCGCCACCTTTGTTTCCTAGTGCAGGCGGGCAATGGTTAGGGGGCACCCTGCAGACCCCCCTCAACCACCGGCGCCCCTGGGCATATGCCCAGTCCGCCTGTTTATAAAAGCGGGCCTGTTTTTAACTGAAAGAACAACTAACTGTACATTATCGCATCTTTTGTGTTACATAGACTATCACATTGAAGACACTAAGGAGAACACAGGGAGCAAGCTGGTCTATTGGTAGAGTGTGGAACTTTGGTCCACAAGGTCCCGAATTCAAATCCTCCCAATCACAAATCGATTTATCTAAGCAATAATGCCACGGCCCTCTATAACTAGCCTGAAGTAATGTGAAAAGGATTCAGGGACTTACATAAATACAATACAATAATCTCATATAATAAAATGAATAATGATACACAATAGCTGTCTGTACTGAGGATTTTAACGCGCTCCTGTTGCTCCTGTTAATGTAAGTTCATACTTGGTTGATATGTTCCCAATTTCCTATAATGATCATAATATGTTGTAAAGATGTGGGCACAGTTTGAGATATTATTGGGGAAAGTAACTTACTTCGTCTTTACAGGGGCTCAATTAATTAGACCTCAAAACAAAAAAGTAAATCAGTCCTGTGTATGGATCTTACCATGAGACCTACTGTAATAGTTTATTCCTTATATGGGAAATTCGCTAATATCCAGAAAAATGTTTACAAATAATCCCAAAAAGTGCATTCTTTTCGATGATCAGTTATGAAAATCCAAACAATCATCTGATCACTAACCTTTAGACCATCCAAAATCTCTAATCACTTGGCTAAATTATTTACCACTTTCCGGGAATTATTTCTTTGTGTCAAAATTGTAAATTATTGTTTATATCTTTATTCTCTGTTATTTTTTTGTTGCCATTTTGTTAGATTTACAAAATTGTATACCTTGTTAAGTTTGAATATGTTGTATTGTAGCACTAAATTTTAAACTGTGATGAACATCTTAGGAACTAAGATTTATTTATTAAGAACTAGATATAATGTATAATAATTAAGGACTAACAAACAATTTTAAGAAATCAAGACGAAGCACCTGTACATGTGATTTTCACAAGTTTTGTATGTTATGTGCAAATTATCATTATCATTATCATAACCTCTGACAACTAGATATAATGATGCAAAAAAATTGTATAATTATAATTCTGTAAACAAAATCATAGTTTGTCTTGTTTTACAACCAAATAATAATTGAAGAACACGTACCTACAAGGCTTGGAGTAGCATGCAGCAGGAATGCATACAATTGGATTAACTTCATTGCCAAAAGTTGTAATAAGGTTTATCTATGGCCGCCCCTCTAACAATGGAAGGAAGCCTGTGCAAATGTCACTCCAACACTGTCACCTTAGGTATGTAATTTATTTGCAAAAATGTGATACAAGTGACGTATTGGGGACTTTATTAGTCGCTTGATAACTTTATGAAGGGAGGGCCAGAATTTGGTTCAAAACTCTTGCTAAGTTTAGTAAAATAGTTTAATGTCTTTCAATTTCAAACTATATCCTGTATTATGTTAACAATGATTGCGTTCTTCTAAAATGCCAAGTGTACGATTTAGTATTATTAGTGTATTATTAGAATATCGGTGGTGTATGCACTGTAGTAATATACATCTATACCACTTAACTTTCAACTCGATTAATTTTTGAAAAATAGTTAGACGATTTCTTGAACTTGTAAGGTAACTGTCTCAGCCATGTGAGAAAAAAACATTTGTAAATTTAGATATATTGATCTTATAAAGATTATTAAATTTATGTTTTTCCTTTATACAGCTAATATTGAAGATAGAGTGAAATAGAGCTAACTTGTTCGCATTAGGATGTGGTTAGGTATAATGAAAATGAATATTTATTTTGTGGGTTTAACGTTTATCTTTTCAATGAAGAATGAAAATTAGATTTTAGCATGTAGAATTTGATTCTTTGAGAAGAGAGTTCTATTTGATTGAAAAGAGCACCATATGTTTACCATCTGACAAAAGGAAGGATTATATATTAAGAGGGTTCTACCTTTCTACCCAGTCAATTCAAGATGGCGGCTAAACATGCTAATGTTAAATGTTTCTAAACATAGCCTACCTCTACAGTACAAGCTCTCAACACTCTAAAACTAATTTGCTTCCAACGATTGTGTGCTTTTGGGGCCTTAACATATCAGAGCTTGCAATGGATGGGAATAAATTAATGTTTAACTACCTACTATTTAGAAGCTAAAATCATATGTAAAAAAGACTAATTTACGGATTTTCAAAATTATTTTGTAAATACTTAAAGAAACAGTTACAAAGTTTCAGTTCATCCAGGGCATATTTTGGATCTTTGTGAATATTTTACAGTTTATTTGAACTCAATAAACACTTTAATCATGCCACAAGGTTCTTTTTTGTAAGACCATGATAACAGCCGGCGGGTGGAACCCTCTAAATATTCTGATATACCATATATATTCATATATTCATATTCATTAGAGATGGGGATGCCACCTATGAACTTATTTTAACACAAAAGGTATCCAACATACAAATTAGGAAGAAAATTATTTTCTTTTAGTTTTACCAATTTTTTATTTCTCATAGTCAGTCATCAGTAGATGGTCTCCTTTTTGTTTTTGAAGATCGCCCAAAAGGTTCACCTGGATTTGTCTCCAAAAAGTATGTTCCTCGAGCCCTAAAAATCAAAGAAAAATTTATAGAGGATTTATAACACAATTAAAATAAAGTGATAAGTTTGGTACAGTAGAGTCCTAATAGTCCGAAATGGTTGGGACCCATTTCGGATTACCGAATATTTCGGATTAAGCTAAATGTTTACTAAAATATACAACGTTTAAGTTGGCTACAGAATTCTTCGACGAGGTACAACTAACTGTTTGTCACACAACAAAAACTGATGACAACAGCTGAGGAAAATAATGTTAAACAAATTTCTTTTTCGGTTTCGGATTAAGCAGACTTTCGGATTACGGATGTCATTATTCATTGGGACACTCCACTGTAGTTGTTTCAGAAATTGTTTTTTTTTTACCATTTATTACGATCAGGATCAAAATGACTAGTCATCTTCTAATCACAAAGCAAGGACTATAATCACTTTGCATTCCCTTTAAGTTTACGTCCTTATAAAAGTGCATAATGAATCAAGAGAGATTCAATAGTAATGAAAGTGTTGCATAATATAGCCTAGCTGAATGCTGATACAAAAAGTAGTCTCACTTTCCGTTCTTGATGTCGTTTGCCATTAAAATGGCGTTGTCTGAATTCTCTTTGCATTTTCCGCTTGAGAAATCGCTCCAAGAATCACAAGGAATGGCTTTGAATCCGTTTCCCTTCTTCAGAGCTTCCTCGTAATAGTAGTAAGCCCTTCGGTGGCTACAAACAGCTGGAAAAAATACAAAATTAGATAAGGTAAATTTTTATATGCTAGTAATAATAAATAGGGTATTGTCCAAACATTATGAAAATAAATAAGCCAAGGCAGTCAAATTTAAGAGTGGTTTTAGACACAGTTCCTGCAAGCAGGCGACCACTGGGCAGACCGAGATTGCGGTGGTGGGACCAAGTCCGAAAAGACATGAGAAAAATTGATGCTACGGAAGAATTAATGGAAGACTGAGGAAGATGCCAAAAACCTGCTTAGGTTTGAGTGGCCAACCAGATAAGGTAAAGTAAGTAGGCCTAATAATAAATGTATAAAACTACTTGTACAATATCCGTAGTGAAACTAGTTACAAATATAGGGACTATGAAACAATAACACTCTACTTGTAGTCGCTATCCCCCTTATGAAACAAATTTGATTATTGTTTTATGGTTTGTCACTAATGGCCAATATCTAGTGTGTGTTTGGTTGTTTACCATTAGTTTCTTGTTGTTTAACTAAATAAAACAATCTAATTGTTAATTGCTTTTCCTGAGCCATATTGTTATACCAAGGAGTAAAGTACAAATTTTACCCTAAAACCTCTAAAACAAAAGTGAAATACTCAGTCCACACACATCAGAAAACTCAAATTTAACTAACGATATTTCAAAAGAGGTTTCAGTCTGACAAAGCATTTGGATGTTTTGATTGAATCAGTGCAATCGATGCAATTAATTAATTGTAATCTTTAGTTTACTTTTGTAACTATAACCCTCCGAGTGTCATGCGTCGCTGCAGCGACGCGTAACGGCGTAACGCACTTTGTATAGTGTCGTGCGTCGCTGCAGCGACTCGCGAACACTGTTTACGGCGAAGGCTCTATGACTAACTGAATCGGACTGTACTGGATTGAGTTAGGTATCGTTCTGTCCGTAATATTCTAAGCTTTCTGCAGAGGTCTGTCTCTAAGCACTATTCATTTTAGTTCCGAAAATATTGTAGCAGACAGCTGACTGAGCTGACGTGCGTGTATTTGTAAACAGCTAGGTTACCCTCGGACCGATGACTGATGTGTTTTATTACGTTTATCATTGTTTTAGTGTTAAAAATCAAAAGTAGTGATATACGTGGTGCATTATAAGAAGATTTAAGTGGTTTTGAAGTGCTGGTTGATGATCCTGAAGAAGTAGGTAGTGATATTGATGTAAATTATCAGCCAGATTCCTAGCTATGGTTGGGCTATGCATTCTTAGCTAAACGCTATGTACTGAAATCTGTTTTTTGCCCATAACTTTTTTATTTGCAAATCTACTTCCTTATATTATTATAGATTTGTAATCCTCATAAAATTTAGAACAAAGTGGCTATTTTCAAATATTTATAGGCCTATAATTTATACAATTTCATTGAGCGCAAACTTATTTTTTTTTGAAAATTTTCGAAATTATACATTTTTTTACCTAAAAAAAATTTTTTTTTTTAAATCTTCCTTATGTTTTATATATAATATTGAAGCCCAAGATTTTCCAAACAAAATGGTATATAGAACAGTATAATTAACATTGTTTTTAAGCTTCTCAGATCAGTTTTAATAAAACCTTGCAAATGAGCAAAAAATAGGCTGACATTAAGGCCAAAACACGTGACACTCGGAGGGATAATGTCCAACAAATCAGAAGTTAGAATATAATAGAGTTAATGATGTTTATTTTAGTCGTTTAAATGGCATCTAGCCTTATTGTGAAGTGAAAAGAATAACACTTTTCTTTGCTGAAATTTACAATAACGATTCTACAAGTTCTATCGCTATTACTAAGAGAATCAATCTGTCATATGCTCCAATCAATTAGATCAAATTGAATTAACTTAAAACATTAATTGTAAATCCAAATTAAACACTCATAAACTGCTAACCTGCATAATCCAGAGTGCAGCCGGGTTGTGGCCATGATCCTCCGTTAGGGTAGAAGTCTCGATGTCCGAGGGCTTTCTGGAAAGCGAGATATCCACCCGATGTGTGAACAACTTCCACGTCATCAGCGTCAGATGAAGCCAGCATGTCATCAGGGCCAGCAGTCTTAAACAACACCTGTGCAGGGTCTAGAGCTGCAACAAGTCGTAAGTCACTGTAGACATTTAATAACATATGGTTAACACGTTGACTGCTAAATGATATAAACATCTTTTAGGCAGACCTGACATTTATTGTTGTGAAATTTATATTGAATATCAATGCAGAATACTTATTCAGTGTCAAGACAAATATATATACATAAACTCAGCAGGAAAGTGGCCTCATCACATTATGGGACTCCAGTCACCAAGCACCGAGTAACTCTCCCCCATGAGGCACACCGATTTTCTATGAGCCCTGATGAAGTCATTCACTAATTCACCCTTAACCAAATGACTCTAAAATGTGCCATATTAACTATTACAAAATTAATTGAATTAACTACTATAGTACAAGAAAAAACACACGCTTTGCCCCTTACACACACATAAATATAAGGTTGTGGTTGACATACAACAGATCCCGCTAGTGTACAATGGGATTACACAACGCAAACTGAGAACAATATTTCTCCACACGTACAAAATATCACCCTCCTTTGACCGAGCCTGAGCTTACACTGAGCTCTTGTTGTTAGGTGGATTGTTTGGGAAGGGGGCATCCCATGCCATTTGCAGTGAGACCTTGATGAGAAGCCTGTGGTCCATACACAGTCAAAAAGTGTTTAATCTACAATAGATAAATATGTAGATCATTATCAAAATTATTGGAACTGCTCTGTTCAAAGCTCTTCCACCTGTATTTAGTTTTAGTTAAGTGGATATTGTTTCCATAAGTTTTGTTATTTAATTTTTCTCTTTTTTATGGTCTTATGCTTAGAAAATTACTTTTTTCCAATTGCAAGCTAACTATAGGAATAGATTTAAAGAGGGTTAAAAAGCTTTGAAGTATACCACACATCTCCTTGCTAACTTGCTTATTCCTATGTCAACTTTGAATGCAATGTGCAATCATTCTTCTAACAACCATGAACCAGTAGTGTACTTGTAAAATGGTCAATCTATATATTTAATACGTGACATGAAACTTTGTGAACAATAAGGCTCTTTTGTTTTAAGATTTAACCCCACATATTGTATACCAAAATGTTTGTCTAGGTGTGTAGATGTGCAAACTGGCTTTAGATTTTCAAAATATATCTTTTTAAGGGCGTGGGCTGCCCTCAAAGTTCCTTCCATAAGGATAACATTGTGATTGATTTGAATGTTACTGGTACTGTATTCTAAAACAGATGTCAATACATTAGTAAACAAAAATAAATCCCAGCTGTTTTATTTGGTTTAGAAAAATTCTCAGCAGCACTCACTTGGCGAGATGGTATTAATTAAAATGTCAGAAATGTGGTGCGCTTTAAAGGGGAACAAAGAGGACGAGAAAGGCGAAGGATTTTCATCCGGCTGCCATAAAGAAAAGTGAATCTACCACCATACCGAGAAATCTATTATATCCAGAGCCTACTTAATAGAGCAAATCAATTGAGCAGAAACTACAAAGAGAACATTAGATCGTACAACTCTGCGCTCGCAATAGAGTCAGCACTCGAGCTAAAATTGAAGAACATAACGGTGGAGGGCCTTTCATGTATAAGGTGCACGACACAATTTATCACTCAATTGGCACCTTTCAACCGTCAGAAGGGGAGCATCCCACATGTGCCCAAATTTATATCTACGGACGTCGAAACCGCTGTTCAAGAAAGAATGCTAAACAAAGCTAATGGCTCTTGCAGCACTGAACTCATGGACATTTTGACTCAACATTTGGTTGATATTAATCCATACGCGCATATGAGCTTCGTCCTGCAAAATACTCCTACTGAACAGAAAAAAGAACTTAGAGCATATAGCCAACGATCGAGCTCAAGACCAACGCCGATACAACAACGCAACTTCTAAAGACGTTGCTATAATATCCTAATTTATTATTCGTGCGAATTTGCACGGGTTCAACTAGTACTTTTTATTTTGACTCTTGGGAATAGCAAAAGGAGGTTCAGAAAACATTATTTACAAAATAGAAATGCGTTAATGAACCCCCACACTGCTTATAACAAATTTTGTAAATTATTATTGAAATTTTGCAAACAATTTAACCCTCCAAACAAAACCAACACTGTAACAAAAGTAATCAATTACCTAACACACTCATAAATAGATACTGTATTCCAAATTCCTCTATTACAAAAATTCCAAAGTTTCAAACAAACAAGGTTTAACTGTACAATGCTTCTCCTTCTAAAACCATCGTAGCAACTCATAAAACAAATATTTTCTACATTCGTAGGCTTGAACGACAGGTGATGTCACTGAATTTTCGGTCTTCTGGCGAGAGACTGTTTCAGTTTGGCCACTGAAGATGCCTGATTATAGAATTGGCGAAATGTCTGGTTTTGTAAATAGTGTAAATACACGACCTCTATTCAGTTTTAGGCTCCAAATTTTTCTTTTCAACTATGAACAGCAAGCTATTCCTATTTTTACTTAAGCCCCAATCCATCAAAATTATCAACAATAAGCCAACATTCTGTATTGCACTCTCAGAATTAGCAATATTCCAAGAATAAATTCAACCCCATAGTAACAATACTCATTTTCCATCATTTTTGTTATATCTTTTAACTCTGAAAAACCGAAGAGCTTTTGAAATCAGACAATTTCACATACCTGTGATTTTCTTGATCTTGCCGCTACGGACGTTTTTACCAGTCAGTCCCACGACATGCGCGCCCAGACTGAACCCGACAAGATGGAAGTCCTGCATGTCTGCACCTGTCGAGCGTGACAAGTGATCCAACATGGCCGCCGTGTGACGCCCCACCACAGCTGTGTTGCGTGCGGCTGTACGGTACCACGGCGTAGCGGCCATCTGGCCCCAGTCTACCCAGAACACATTGTAGTCCCCACGAGCGAGGAAAGCTGTACAGATTTCAGAAAACAATTTTACATTTTATTTACCAACAATAATATACAGTGTGATTGAAAAGTCCCGGGACGGTTAAATATTTTAAAAAATAATGCAGATAGAGCTAAAATACTTAGTACAAAGTTACAGGGCATAAAACTCTATTTTAACACATATTCAGTGATCCAATAATTCTTCAGGGGGACGGCCCACAAGGAGTCGGAAGAAAATCTTAAATGGAAGCATAGGTCAATATGAGCATCAAATTAAAGGTCTTTTTTAGTAGAATACAATGCCGCAAACCGCACTTCAAAAGGTTGATCCTGCACAAAATGGCAGATGTTCAAAGATTTCTTGAATCTGCCATTTTGAATCTTTGAACGACTGCCATTTTTTACTCAGGCATTCTTTTGAGCTTGAATTTACGGCATCGTAATCTAAAAGTGAAGAACTTTAATTTGATGTGCATATCGACCTATTCTTACGTTAATAATTTTCTTCCGATTCCTAGGGAGAAAGCGTATAATAGCAATGTAAATTAAATGAATCTTTGAACAACTGTCATTTTGCGCAGGATCAACCTTTTGAAGTGCGGTTTGCGGCATTGTATTCTACTAAAAAAGACCTTTAATTTGATGTGCATATTGACCTATGCTTCCATTTAAGATTATCTTCTGACTCCTTGTGGGACGTCCCGCTGAAGAGTTATTGAGTCACTGAATTTGTGTTAAAATAGAGTTTTATGCCCTGTAACTTTGTACCAAGTATTTTAGCTCTATCTGCATAATTTTTTAAAATATTAAACCGTTCCGGGACTTTTCAATCACACTGTATTGTGGAGCAAAGATTTCTTAAGTGTGTGAAGGTTAGTTAGTAATATGAGAGCTATCTTTATAAAATTTAAACTTTATTGAATGTTTTAGATTAAAGCTCGCTTTATTGATAAAATGGACAGGATCGCTAATAGTGGACGTTTTATGAAACTGGAAATGTTCAGTTATATTAATTTTTATATTTGACATTTTTTGTTTTTTTGTAAAGGAACTGTCTTAATCCTGATTTTGATACTTTCTAGCCTTGAACCTTTTTTCCTTCGGATCATCAATTGATACCCCAATGACAAATGGCATTGGGTCCAGAATTAATCTTCCTTGGAATCAGATTTGAAGACGAGCACTATAATTGACAAACCAGGCAATATATTCTATTGACAATGTATTGTTACCGCCGTTGCCAGTATCTAATTTTTCTGAGGCTTAATATTGACTGGCTGCTGCAGTACCATATCCATGTTTGTAAACAAAAATCTTAATTCAATAAATTAATATGTGATTTACTATTTCTTGGTTAAATATTTAGGGTAAAATGCTCTAGGATAGATTTTGAGAGGAAATTAGCTCATCTCCGTACAAGATTAGCTTCACAATCACGCTTCCTTCTTAGTGGTTGTCAAAGTGGTCAGTGACCACGAAATATTATATTTTGTTGTATAGTATGCCTGTGCATGAGTGTAAAAGGTCTACTGTATAAAATTCAGCCTGTTCTTACTTTTTTTTGTTAATTACAAATTGGATAAACACTCTTAGTCCAGCATCTATAGAGGCTTGAGTATGCACTGAAAATATAACACGTTTTGACTTATGATTCTTAACATGTTTTAAACAATATAATGTCAATGTTTGTAATAAATTGATGTTTAGAGCAAATTGCTATCGTGTATAGTTCGCAAGATATTAAAGCTGTTTCAGAACACACCCTTATGCTACCTCCCCCTCCTTTCCAAGTTGCACTTGCTGGGAGGATGACAACTTCAGTCTTGGTTTTTTTTAAAATACCTCCAACAAAAATCAGGAGTAAAAGTAAGACTGTTGATGATTCCATTTGAGTAAAAGTAAGACTCATTACATTATAGAGCAGTATGGTACTCATAAATGATCCTGACTAATGAAACCGCTGATCTTAGTCACAACAACACAACAACAAAGATACACAGGTCATCAGACACCATTCTACACTTATCCTTCACTCATATTTTGGTTAAAATACGCACCTAGGTGGCGTCCCCATCTCAATGGTTGATAATTAATATTAATAATTACAGCTACCAATAAAAACTTAAATATCACAAAAACGTACCATCTCTCAAAATGGGAAACATGAGTGAGTTCTCTCCACTGTCTCCAAACCCGTGGACCAAGAGCTTGGACTTCCGTTGTGGCTTGAAGTACTTGAACACGGGGAGGCACGAGTCATTCATGGATCTTCTCTCAGCCCTTGTCGGGTTGTCCCTGCAACCCAAGCTACAAGTTAGTACATTCCAGCTATCCTTATTCTCACTCCAGAGACAAGATATTTCCAAAAAGAATCTGAATGTATTTTACTCAAAGTAAGGATTTGTGATATACCTGATGGCGTTGTAAATCAAAATTTAGAAGAAATAATATGTACGTATGAACATTGACGATCTAAGCTTCACCTGTTGTAATAGAGGAGTGCTGAAGTGTACATTGATACACAGTTATTTGCAAAAACTCAGACAGTGAAATAATATTAAAAACTACCTTTGCTAGACCTATTAGGTGGGTTACCTTGTCTTCACAAAGCTGATTTAGATTAGGATATAGTTTTTACAACAGGACTGATTTTTATGTGAATGATTTCATTGTTATAGTACTTATCAGATTCAATGATAAGTACAAGATAAGATCTTGGGATGATTCAGATATTGTTAACCACTATCCATTAGCGTTGTTTTTGTTAAGGGACTGTTCTAAACTCTGGTCTTGCAAAATTATATTATATAGCAGCAATTAATTGATGCTGAATGGAAAATGACAACTGGGACTGAATCAATCTCACTTTGGACTCAACCTCACTTGATTGTCCCAGAGGAACCATTGAATTTGTAGACGATCATAACCCCTTTGCTACCCAGTTAGTATATTTTGGATATTGATTTTCAACTCTTACCAATTGCTAAATAATAAGATTATATTTAGATGAAATATTATTTATATTTGTAAAATTTTGAATCTTTTCAACAACCATAATGTTTATTTCCAGCCATAAAGAATTGATTGTGTCCTCTAACCTCGTGTACAGATAGAAGTTGACACTGTCAACCCCAGCCGAGTTGCGAGGTTCGACCCCAGACAAGATGGCCACCTGGACGTTGCCTTGACCATCTGGCATCAACATCCATTCTACATCCTCTCCATCAGCAACTGGCATCTGGTTGTCCACCACCTCGTAACCTCGTGACAGAGTTGAATAACCATTGATTATATTATGGATGCAAGGTAAAAGCATGAGCAAGATGAGAAGCGATTTCAGCAAGTCAAGTACCAAAACGTACCTGCTGGAATCGTCCCTTGCATTCATAACCATGACGCAAACTACTTTTTTTGAAAATTTTCCTATGTGACTAATGAGCCGAATTCAATGTTTCAGGTTTCAAAAAGACTGTTCTTTTTTGATTAAATTTTCGGTTTTGGATAACATTTAAAAAATTTCAAATTGTTTTACCCTGAAAGGCCTCAGTTGCTCTCAGAGTTTTGGAGGACCAATACTGTGATCTAAAGACAGGATGCGGTAACTAGAAGAGCTTTAACACAACCTTTAATTCACATATTAATATATTACTAGTGGTCGTCCAGTAGTCGAAAACTCGACCAAAAACATGTAATCTACACGTATTGACTATTGGATAATGAAGTAGACATCCCATCTCTATGGACCAGCTGTCGCAATTTTGTTTTTATAAAAAAAAAACATGTACTGTACCGGTACTGTAGTTCTGTGAGCCATTCACCGAAAGCATGACTTAAATTCTATTTTCTACCTTACTTTTTGTTCCTGAAAAAGTTGATGGGCCATAACAAATTAATATAGCTCATTCAAAATGTTTTCTATCTTTTTCACCCCACGCTGTAAATGAAACATGTGATTGGAATTTCTTTCATTTGTTTTGATTTTCTGTTTACATTTCGTTGTTATTTAGTCACCAGCATGGCAACCCATATAGCCCATGTTAAATTTTTAAAATTTCAAATTAATTTTTTGTGCTTATATTTGAGCCTATTTTAATTTTTAAAGGGATTCTGCACTCCTACAGGAAAATATCTTTCTAACGGTATGCTTAGATTTTCCCTGCGTTACACACGAGCTGAGAAAAAAGGTTTTAAAGAAACATGCTTGCCTATTAATATATAGATAGATAGATTTTGGGTTTAGCTGGCTGTGTAGAGACTAGAGAGTGTATAGTGAACAGAGTAACGCCCTTGAAATCTCTAAAACCAAATAAATAAGAATAAAGCTGAAGGAATACCATCTGATTTGAGTTTTCGAAAGAATGCCATTGCCTGGACCAATAGGTTTGTAGTTGGTGAGATTCCGGTGGGGCACACGGGAGGGACTAAGGCTAACATATCTTGTAGTGTCAGCGTTCGCCGCTAGAACTGCTAAGTTGAAATAATTTAAATTAATTTTTTTTTTAGTTATAAAATTAACTTTTTAATTATAAAATATTGTTTCAAAATTATAAAATAAATTTTTAATTTTTAAAATTAAACTGTCATAACATAACCTAACCAACCAGACTTGCTGATAATATAAAAACTATATAAGATAAAAATCTAATTAATAATTACTTATAATTTTTAATTAATTATAAAATTAATTTTAAAATGTAGTATTATAAAATTAAACTGTCATAACCTAACCTAACCAACCAAACTTGCTGATATGAAAAATTTGTTGACAAAAAGTCAGTGCTACCAGCGGGATTCGAACCCGGGACCTCCTGCACACCAATCCGATACGCTACCAACTATGCCACGAACGCCGCTGAAATCACATCGTTTCGTAACGGTAATCGTGTCGCCTCAAGAGAAGACATTACCCACTAGAGATATGACGTCACTACACCTTTAGCCTTAGTCCCTTCCGTGTGCCCATTCCGGTGAGATTCCACACAATGGTAAAATCAACATTAGAACCTGACAGGGCATAAAGCATTTCCCCATTGTAAAAAAATCATCAGATTTTTTATGTCAACTTTTTATTGGATTATCATTACCAATAAATGTTTGGAAAGTGTTACCCTGAGTGATGTAAATACACTTTGTACTTTATTGTTTTTAAATTTATGTTATGGGATTGGGAATATATTTATTTGTGAATTCAGTCCTTAGCTGTTTAAAATAGGAAAGACACAAACATCTGCAGCTCTCCCTACCTCATATGGTACTTTGCCTCGCCATCACTTTGCCTCTAGACAACAATAATACAGACAGATTTTACACAGTGTTTGTTGGTAATTGGTTTGGACAACAATATAAAATCTGGCAGATGAGATAATGCTTTCAAAGGTTTATTTTTCAGAAGTGTTTAGAATATAAATTGTAAAAACTTTGTAGTCTGATCAATTTAGAAACCAAAAAAAAAAAAAATCAATTTAGAAAATTTAGAATCAATTTTAGAAACTCAACCAACTAGTTAAAAGTTAAAAGCTAAGTACATTTTTACAGATGTATCAACACTGTGATTTACTACTTAAAAAGAAAACATGATTCTGTTGGAATAGTTTTTGTACGGTACTGCAACAGGTGTAACAAACTTACCTGATTAGGCAGAGTCTCGGTGACAACAGACTAAAATATTTGCTAAACTCAGGAGATTTTCCTGCTCTTGTGGAAGGTCACCAAAAACATAATACATTGTAACTGTGTTTTATATATTTTAACTGCTTAATTGATTCAACAATTTTGATCTTAAAGTAGTAAGGGTTATCAGCAATAACTGATGATAATAAAGATCATCTCATCAAACACTTACCCTCACACCAGTAATCCAAATATATGAGCACCAAACAATAGAAACCTGTCAAGAGACGTTTCATCCTGTCCTAACTTGACATGCTAACATATACTGTTTATATAGGCCAGTATGTTGTCTATCTGAAGGTGAGTGCCCCCCATTGCTGCATATCTATCAGCACAAAGTGCCTGTCACACTAATAAATTGTGTACATGACTTACAATGTGTTAACTATCGTATCAGACAGGCCTTGTACCTAGGCTTATTCATGCATGATACTTCAATGAGCTAATTTATAGTCAAAAGTGTGTTGTGATATATGCTTCAATGGGAGAATTCAAGGTCGAAGGTTTAATCTCCAGTAGGTTTGTTGCATTCCAGTCAGTGAGATTATTACAAAGAGTGATCGAGTTTTATACTTATACTGTAATTTCAACAGAGCAAAGAGTATAGAATTTTGGGCGAGTGAAAAAAAAATAGTACACTAAATAAATACATACAAGCTGCTATACCCGTCCTTTGCAACGGGAAGAAATGTAACCCAGAGAGCTATTAAAGTGGTGCTGATGTGTTTTAAAATACAACAACTCTATATGATTTAGTATGAAAATATAAACGGATTTAAAAGTGTAAACCTACACTTTGATCTTAGCCAACAGGCCGAGAAGTGAAATTAAATCATCTCAACTTTAGAAGCATGCCAGGCGTAGCCCTTTGGAAATCAGCTTGTAGGGCAGAGCCCTTAGGAAATTCATCCATATCAATACTTTTCGGCAAATCTACATACTCTAAGCTTCATTTTGATGTGATTTTTATTTGGTATATGGCCTTAACCGTTTACATAAAATTTGATTGTATCACTTTAATAATATAATAGATTGCATAGATTCTCATAAAAAAAATGTATAATGGTTATTGCAATAATTGTGCTTTGTGAAAAGTTCATAGGTAAATATAAACCAACAATTTCAGTTTTTAATGTCAATGAGCTGCATGACAAAAGCAACAGCCACTAATAGAAGTACCAAATAATCATTAGTTTTTTTATTTTTAAAATTTATGGGTATCGAAAATTAAATATTTTTCTACAGTACCTAATTTAAATCAATTATTTTTTGTTAAAGAATGGACTAGCATCGCAATATGTAAAATTTTAAAAAAATCTTTAAATTGTGAGGAGAATGTTAGCATCACTTTGATGAGAATGATAGTAAAAATAAAGTTGTTCATTTATTAAGAAACTGTATTATAAATGACAATACAAACTGTAGGTAGTAAAAGTAGTCAAGTAATAGTTTAACGAAATATTATTAATTAAACTCATTAAAATATAAAAAGAACAAAAACCATAACATAACAGGGCATAACAAACATGGGGTGAAGTCTACTGTGCGAGAAAAAAATCGGTAAAAATAAAGTTTTTTAGCACTCAAAAGTGCTAAGGAACGATATATCCAGTCTCGATCATATGAAGAATTAAAAGAAACAATCGCTGTTTCGAAACAACAACCGAGTCAACCAATATGCCCATTTAAACTCACACATAGAAAGTCATCGAAACATCGAAAGCCGGGCCAGCATGACATAACATACTGTACCCATAACACTTTTTGGAAAAATATGCACTACAATATATCGTCGCATAGCACTGAACTAGCAAACTAGGGTTGACTATATAGCAAAGTTCCAACTTTTTCTAGTTTAATTTGCAGTACACCATTTATCAGTATCACTCAATTACCAAATTTTACAGATTTATTTATCGCTACACCAGCAAAATTTTATTTTTGACTGAAATTACGTAATGACATAATACATATATTGACATTTTTTCTTACGATCTCCTCTCAAAAGCCACTTTATAACCATCCAGATTGTTCAGAGTTACAACGAAACCAAATCTCATATTTTCTAGGTCACAATCACTGCTAACTTTGAATGTCTTCAGAATGTGTATTAGTGCAATCTTCAGTAACATGTACGCATATTGTTTACCTGGAATGAAAATAAAATAAGTCAGACAAGTCTATGAGTTGTAATGTAATGTATAGAAGAAAAAAGTTAAGCGGCGTTTACACAAAAACAGTAGACATGCAGGTTACCTCAGTTAGTGTATTTCAAGTTATAACTGAGAGATCGGCAACCTGTCTGCCTAAAAAAAGTGTTTACTAAATGTTTTTATTGACAGCTATAAGAATCAACACACACATATGTTGGATGCATTTCTGTATATGTTCCATTTTACTTTTGATCGATTTAGGCTACTGTACAAGTGTACAGTACATTAATTTAAACAGCATACCAAGTTGTACGATTTTACCCTTAATTTTATCACTCTTACCGATACAGTTCCTTGGACCACCACTGAATGGAAGGAAGGAATAAGGATGCCTTTCAGTTACGAGATCCGGGGTGAATCGATCCGGGTTGAACACGTGAGGATCTTGATACACTTCTGGGTCAAAGTGTAATCCGACCAGACTGAGGAAGATCATTGCACCTTTGGGAAGTTTGTATTCACCTGGAAATTATATTATAAATACAATTAAATATTTATAGTTCAACTTTTGTTATATAGTGAGTTGCACAGTTTGATATTTTGTTTTTAGGACCTGCTTTTTATGATAATGCAGTGTGTATTTTGACTTATATGTTGTTTGGTCCTTATGGATTTTTCACATCAATGGTTTCATGTTATGCGTTTTATAGGCTACATAATTAATTTATCAATCATTTTCCTGACAGTTACCCTGTGATTTCCTCACCTTTCATGAGAAACAATGTAATTATTGCTGATAAAATAATGTTACGCTGAAGTTGTAAACAGACATTATAGGTTTAGTGTTAACTGCTTGGTGAATTGTATTCAAATACATTAAACTTTTATCTAAAATTGGCAAAAACAACTAAACAGTGGTGTAAGTATACTCTGGATGGACTACTAGTTTAACAGGTTTAAAAGCGGTTTAACTTTTAACCACAGATCATTTCAACCTCAACACAGGCCTTAAAAGCCGCCATTCCTCATAGTTTAATGAACATGGAAATATCTGATTGATATATCAGATGGAAATATAAAATGCATATAATCCACGCAGCTGCAAATTTTTTTTACTTTTATAACAATTTCAATTTATCCTCTATAGACCTTTGTTGTTCTTACCCAACTGAATGTCCTCAGGAAGAGTCCTGGAGACAACTGGCAAGACCATACAAACTCTCAAGGTTTCCTTTATAACCCGGGTCAAGTATGGAAGTCTGTACAAGTCGTCAACTGTTATGTCCTTTTCTTCGGTACCCACCACACTTATGATATCCTGATACAGCATTTCCTTGAAAAATGGAAAAACTGTTAAAACCTAGTTAAAATGAACTCTTTGAACACTTCAAGAACTATGTGAACTAAAATAAATCTGTTCTATTAGATTAAATATATGGACAAGCTTCAAATTCATACACATTGCATGAGCAAAGGTAGTAAACTTTTTCTTGGCTTTTTTTCTCAAAGGTAGGCGGCCTCTTTTAACCTTGGATTTGCCCGTTACGTGGGCCACAGAGGCCTGTGCGTGGAAAATATCCAGCAAAGCAACGGTTGAGCCGATACAGTTTGAGGGTAAACTGTACTGATACAACATAATAGCAGGTACTAGGATCCGATGCCTTGGGCCTGAAGTCCATAGCTCACCTACAGAATTACACCAAACGATAAAGGACACAATTTTTAATATGAAAGTGGATGGTATGTGGTACGTTGACAACAATCGTTGCCAAACAATTTTTAAACATTTTGTTGCGAACAATTGTGTATTTCATTGTGAATCGGGCTTTACACATAATTCTCCACAGCAGCTTTGTTCAAAAGTCAGTTATTCTTAGGTAATTTTTTTGGCTTTGCTACAAATACGTCTCATGATTTTTCGCCTGATGTATTAGGCAATGAAGGGATTCAATTTATGAAATTAACTAAAGTGAATCTGAATATAACATACCTGGACATCTTGGTGTTTGCCTAGCATTAGCAAACAGGAACTCAAACTGACAGCTATTGAGTCTGTTCCCTAGGAAAAGCAGAGAGTACATATTAGTTCTCTTCCCTAATTATTTTCAAGGCAACATCATATTGGGGGAAAATAGCTACAACCGTACCTGAAATGAGAACACTATGTGTTAAAACATTACAAAATGTCACTCAAAATAAAATTTTTTCCAAGATTAGTATTACAGTAAAGCATATCGAATTTAAGACATTATTTGTTGCTGGCTGTGAAAATATTGAACTCATATCACATTCAGGTTTTGAGATTCTGTGCCTAAATTAAAAAAAAAATATTGTTATATAAATGCATAATACTTAAAGCCTTTAGCTCTGATTCAACAAGAACAGTAGGTGGCATGCAGCTCCCCTGTAAGAAGTGGGTTTTGTTATTCTGGTTTGTTTGGTAGGAGCAACATCTGGAATCAAAGTGGACACAGGTCATAGAGCAGTCATGTGACTATATGAGCTGCAACTTACACTATTGGTTGTATAGTGAACAAATTGCCCTTTACATGAAAAACCTGAAGGGGTACCTAACTCAAGTCCTCAACCCAGACAAAGCAGGGGGACATATGCAGAAAGTAGGAATTGTTTTTGAAAAATTTTGGAGTTTGTGTTATGGGTGGAAATATATGTTTTTTTTGGAATAACCCATATTTAAAAGTACATAGCATTATTACCGTTCCAACAAAAGTTTTCATCTCCCATTCCACATCAGCTGGACTGAAAGCTTCAGAAACTAAGCCAGGCACACTTAGCGGGGAGTATACATCTGGTACAACATCATTACAACAAATTAATATTCACAGATATAGAATTACAACACAATGCAGATCTCTCACCGAGCCTAAGAAAACGTTAGGTAGGTCTTTATATAAGCTATTGTACCTTGCACACTAGTAGGCAATGAAGTTAATTCACATATTAAAGCGTAGGTGTAGCGGTGTTGCCAATTTTACAATAAAAAAATAAAACGCTTATAGAAATAAACTCAAGTATTTCAGCTGAGCAAATGATGGACTAATTCCAAAAATATCTTAATGGACATAGTTGTTGAAGTAACTTAATTTACTTATTATTTTGTTTCAGCTCAAACAACTTTTCAAACACTTTTTTAAGTATTTACTGTGATAAGTTATATTGATTGATGCATATTCTTGGACTCTCATCTTTCACCGACCAAACAAAACAGTTTACTGTTGAAACAATCAGTTAACTAGTTAAAACTTTTAGAATTTACTATTTCCTAATGGGGGATAACAAGCTTTTAAAAACAAGAATCAGAGTTTATTTATTTACCTTATGTGTCTTTTTGAGTAAGTCATCATGTTATGCTTAAGGTATTAAGTTCCACTGAAACAATTCACTGGAACAGTTTAACAAAAGAAATCCCTGCATGGCATACCGTTAAATTTCCCAGAATCTGCAGATTCATCTTCTTTATGGTCTGTCAATCTTTGCCTTTTAATAATCTGCATCAAAAACAGTCATTTCACTATTAAACTTTTGTACTAAGTTCTGACAAATACATTTTGGCTGTCAGTACTGCACTCAGCTTAAAACACATACCTTTGGTCATTGAAAAATAATCAAAAGTAAATATAATGAATCATTGTTCATCTTTATGCATGTCAAGTAGAGTAGATATTCTCAGTTTTGATATTAAAATTCTACTACAAGAAGTTACTGTTATACAGGGTGTTGAAAATGTCTGGAACCAGCATTATATCTGGTGAGTGGTTAAAGAAATACAACTGATATTTTGTGTACGGATATACTATGGTTTTACCTATCTTTTGGTGCCTTATGACATTTTTTACCACTTATAGGGAACGTCCTGTGGAGGATGCAGTAAAAAGTTTTAATGGAAGCCTATGGTAAATGATACATCATTTAAAAGGCCATTTATTTCTGAGTAAGGAGCCACAAGTTTCATCTCAAAAGGACCACCCTAGCGAAAATGGTGACTGTTTGAAGTTTTTGAAAATAATTGAATTTTAAATTTCAAACAGTCGCCATTTTTGCTAGGGTGGTCCTTTTGAGATGAAACTTGTGGCTCCTTACTCAGAAAAAAAGGCCTTTAAAATGATGTATCATTTACCATAGGCTTCCATTGAAACTTTTTACTGCATCCTCCACAGGACGTTCCCTATAAGTGGGTTTTTAAATTTCAAACCGTCGCCATTTTTGCTAGGATGGTCCTTTTGAGATGAAACTTGTGGCTCCTTACTCAGAAAAAATTGGCCTTTAAAATGATGTATCATTTACCATAGGCTTCCATTAAAACCTTTTACTGCATCCTCTACGGGACGTTCCCTATAAGTGGCAAAAAATTTCATAAGGCACCAAAAGATAGGTAAACCCATAGTATATCCGTATACAAAATATCAGTTGTTTTTCTTTAACCACTCACCAGATATAATGTTGGTTCCAGACATTTTCAACACCCTGTATATATACTGTACATAAATTACTGAGTACAATTATGAATCATCTATAATTATTAATTCTATGAGACGACGACGCACACGATGGGTATTTTAAGCTGAAAATGAATGCTAGGTAAGAGAAGAATGGAGTGAGGATGATCCATGTAGTTACTGACATCTTACAGCTGTTTCATTGCTCAGGATCATTTATTAAAAGCGCAATGATCAATGAAGGCTGTTTCTCAATGGCAACGTCTTGGTTAAAGTTGTTATAAACCTTATTGTTGTTACCTCTGTTCTTGCATTCTAGTTATATTACCACTGACTGTTCGATATATTACCCTACGTACATTTTGACAGCTTGTGTGGCATCTTTATGGGATCTTCTTATCCTATCACACTTAAGGCTGTATACAGAGACAGAATGACTCATGAGAACAGACTCCTACATGCAGACGGATTATGTTGTAAAGCTGCAGGAGTCCGTTAGCAGGTGGACTAGCTCTTCCCTTCTCCCTCACCCCTCCTCACTTCTTCAGTGTTGTGAACCGTGATTTTCATAAATGCATTCCGTGGTTAGGGGAGTACGTCAATTTTAGTAATGATGATTTAATACTCTTGTACTCAGTGTCTAATAGGAATCATTGGGAATACACCTATTCATTGAGATTACTATCTCGGTAAGTTGATAAATGTGGATCCCAAAGAACATGATGACGTCTCACAACATTAATCAAAACTTTTAAAAACGTAACATTTATAATCATGCAAGTCCGAAGGAATATTCACCGAGAGGCGATTTAAAAAAAAAAAAACGTCTGCAAACTCAAGTGAACTCTGGCAGGCGGACAGATTCCAGGGTGCGTTGACAAATTTGATAGTTATGGGGAGTGAATTTTAGTCGATTCGTCTGTGTGACTCATTCTGTCTCTGTGTGCACTGGCTTGGCCAGTTACACAAACACTATTATACTCATATTTACAGCTTTACATTGTCACTATTGCAGTCTGGTCAATCAAGTAACACTATGACTGAGGCCATTCCTGTACTGTTTTATTTCTTGGACTGGGGGTGTTGAACTAATGGTGATTTGACGATGAGGGCAGGGACTTCCCAGGTTTATGGTCAGGCAGATGCTTTGGTCTGTGTTGTGTTGCCGTTTTTTTTTCTGTTTTCCTAGTTTTGTCCTGGTTTTTTTTCAAATGTACGTAGGGTAATATACAACTATAATTCAAGAACAGAGGCAACAACAATCAGGTAGCTACTTTAGTGAAACTGAAGTTCTTCAACCTGGGATGGCTCCAAGCATTACTGGTTTAAGACCAACTCCAATATTTTATGCCTCCGCACTTTCCTTTGCCTTTTACTATGTGACTTAATGCTCTTTGCTGTATTTAAATCACTACACAGTCCAGCTACGGATATTGGAAGATTATTTTAATAATTTATTTCCGTCAATCATGGATCTATAAGATGATTAAAATTTATGATCCTAACTAAATTCATATCAAGGTCATAGTGGGGTAGGGATTAATTTACTATTAATAGATTATTGATAAACTTGTCTCTAAACTAAGATACAACAAATCTAAACAGTTTATAAATCTCATCATTTTGGTCAAACGGAGATAACACAAATCTCTTAGTTTCACACATTTGTAAAACACAAGAATAAGTTTAAAACCGTCATACCTCAACAGGTTGTGACACAAATTGTTCCCAAGTATGTTGGAACTCCCGAAGTGCTCGGTTGTACATAAACTCCCATACTCTGTCCAGCCACAACCATGGCCTGAATGCTCGGGCCTGCACCAAGTCACTTCCTCTGAATAAACATTCATGTTTTAGTCAAATATTACAAATGTTTTTTTATTAGCTTAGCAATTTGAAGTTGCAGATTACGATGTATGGGAGTTTAATTTCTTTCACTAACTGTCAGTGATAGTTCAAGCTGTAAGAAAAACCTTAAAGTGTGCACTTCCGTTAATTTAACACTGACCAATAACCCAAACAAATTATCTCTACTTCACAAAAGCTGAACTGAGGTGCTAAATTATAGAAAGTCCTGAGTGAAAATTTAAAAACGTACGTTTTCAGGAAAAGCACTTTGCAAATTCTTTTCCCCTTTTTTCAAAACTTTTATTATTATTTTTATTTCATTAACATTTGAAGTTTCATAAAATGTCCATGGTAACGCAATATCTTTGGTAGTTTCTTTTTAAAAGAGCATCTTTAGTGGAAAAACACAAAATCCTGTCACGACCATAACGGACGTTTAAATGAATATTAAAAATAGTTAATATTATTTTTATAACTATGTTTTGCTATAAACTTATTTACTTTTATGACCATTATACAATAAAAAGGTCACTGAGCTTTTGGTATATTTGGTTTTTCTAGAAAACAATAAAAAAACTCAAAAAATTGAAAAAAAGCCAATAAAATCTTTTTAAGTTTGTATAACTCTGAAAAAACTTACCTGAGACCCGAAAAATCGTTATGTTTGTATAGAGGTGTGCTTCTTTTGTGTATAAAACATTGAAATATGACGATATTTTAATTTTTGAAATTTTTATGATAGAAATCATAAACGTGATGGTCAGGGACAAGCGGTACGGTCGTGAATTGTCTGGAATCATCTAAATCTTTCTAAACAATCCTTCAATTATCCTGTTAGTTATAATAAAAATATGTGTTTCAATTGAACTAAACTGTTCAATTTACAATTATATTAAAGTTATTGTCACGACCAAACACACTATAATCCATAAGGCTGGATTGGTCGTGAAAAAACCCGCGATGGTCGTGAAATTACGTGTTATTTGGCTCTGTTCTGGCGGTAGCCCTGCACCTCATGTTCGAGGATACAAAGTGGACTTCTAGGTTAATCTAGCAATTGAAATATCTTATAAACAAAAATTAACACCATGTCTACTTCATCGAATGACTACATACGGTCATGGACACACCAAAATTACAAAAAACCCAATCTTTCCTTTATTAATCTTGTAATTCCTCCTTTCAACTCGAAACGACCGGCACTACAATCCTGACATACACCCCGAACTAGTCTCTAAAACCAACTGACTCCATCGACGCCAGGCTTGCCACTGTCGTGCTCCAAAGTTGACAATTTTTCCCAAATGGTCGTGACGCCAAATTGAGGGACAGACTTATTTTGTCATGGTAGTCAGTTTTTAATGACAATAAAATTATAATATGCTCCTTTTTTGTAAGTTTAATAACCATTGATGACATAAAAATATGGCTTTATATATTTCGGCATGAATAATTAGTCTAAAAACAGCGTGAAAGTTGGAAAATGCACCCTAGGGACACGTCATGGTCGTGAATTTCGAGACTTTAAAAATACGAAAAAAATACCTAGAACCTATTTAAAACCAAATAAATGTGTGTAACATGTTGCCCCCGTCTTCAAAAATTATTAAACACATAATAATAAACTACAAATCCAGTATCTACGAAGTAAAAGGCCAGGGACATGAAAACGTACGTTTTTAAATTTTCACTCTCCTACATAGACATTAGGAAGAGGTATAATTTACAATGTGATTCTAGTCTGACGCCTACACTAATTAATTTTGGGGGAACAAGTATTGTCTTTTTTGCCATTTGAATCTTCAATTGTTCCATTTACCCACCAAAGTACTACTTGTAGTGGCTCATTTTTCTTTTATTGTTTACTTGAAACGAAAATTCAAAATTCAAATTTGTCTTTAGTGTTTGCAATTTGATTTCAGTTACCTTTGTATTTACAATTAATCTTAAACTTACCTGTGCACACATTCCAAACCCAAGTCAAATGTTTTGTTATTAAGCTCACAAACTGCGTCAGTACCAAACACAAGGGCTGAAAAGATGATAATTTTTAAGTTTTCATTCTGTAAAGCTGGGTTTTCCTAGGCGCAGAAGCGGAGAGCGGAGAGAGGAACACGGAGAGCGGAAAAGAGATTAACATGGTGTTACGCTCCGCTTCTAGGAAAACAGAGTAACATTAAATTATCTAAGACAAGTGGAGTCCGCTCTCCCCGTTCCTCTCTCCGCTCTCCCCGTTCCTCTCTCCGCTCTCCACTTCCGCGCCTAGGAAAACCCGGCTTTAGTGCTATAATAGTGTTTTAATCCAAGAAGCTTTTCTTTTGAGTGATGTCCATAAAAATAATATATTTAAATTTTAATAAGTCTAGTGTTATACTTAAAACGAGATAAAAATAATAAATAAGCTCATTTTGATCTGACAATTGTTTTGTTTCATAATGTAGTTGTAAGCTTGATCTAGACAGGATAATTTGGGTCAAGAAAAGTTTGGGCAGGCACCCATTTCAAACTATTGGGTGACAAAATAACAAAAAAAGTTTTGTCCCATAACCAAAGAATTAGAAAGTTGAAGCGGATATCCTCTATTTACTGCTTACGTATGCTTTCCATTGTGTAAACATTTCACTGCCGGTACTTTATCATTTTAAGTGTAAGACACTTATTCAATACGGAAGATTTTTTAATCAAAAACATATAATATGTTTGTGATATCCTTACCACATATGGACCTAACAGAGAGGCCTAAAGCACGGTCAAAAACATCCGTGAAACCTTTTCCCACCAGACCAGATAAATTACCAACTAAAACTTCTGCGTTTTTATTCATCAAAGGCGCCAATCTCTGAAGATTTTGAGGATGGAATAAAGGACTGATCAAACGTCTTGTTGCTTTCCACCTTGATCCTTGAAAACAAAAACATAATTGAAGAATGTAAAAAAATATATTAAGAGAGAGGTATACCTATAGAGGGGGACACAATATTAATAACTATAAATAAAATCATTTAAGGTGGAATCTGATTATTCAGTTAGACAGAAAGTTAAAATTGTATAGTGATTTTAAAGTTTAGCTCATTGTTGACATCAGTCCCACAATAAAAAAAAACACTATATTCAAACAAAACAGAAGCGAAAGAATCATAAAATCTGATAAGGAAAATTAAGTAATGTTTAATGAGAGCAAAAGAGTAAAATTACTTTGCATTCAAATTTCATATTTTCAATTAAAATTTGCATTTAATTGGTTTCAAGTTCTAACACTAACTTTCAACTATTTTGAAAACCATTTGTGCTTTTTAAACCCTTGGTTTGGTTGCACTGGGAGTGGTTAGTTTTAAGCTAAAAAATAACACACACCATATATTAGTGAATTTTTCACAGATTCAATTGAACAATTTATAATAAAAAATACTTTCAACTCGGTATGGTTTGTATCACAAGTAATGATGACTTACCTGAAGCAGTAAGAAGTCCTTGGCCGAACAAAAATGTTATTATCGAGTAGTTTTTAAAGATCCCCTTAGAACTGTTTAGAATAATCTGTTCAAAACAAGATAATACAATGTCAGTTGTAAAGTGTATGAAAATATCAGAAAATCTATAATGAAACTTTAAAGAGGTTTAGAATTCTTTAATGAATTAGGTGTATAATGCCCCTATTTAAATTGTTAAAACTACAGAGGGCCATATTTTTACTTCAATTTCTCATCACCGCATTAGAAAACCAATCCCTTATTAACAATAATAATTTGTAATGATTAATAATGATAATTTCAAGTGTAAATACGGTTTAAGACATTTCAGAAAGGAAAGTTGTTTATAAAACATTTCAAACACAAAAAGACATAAAATTACATAGTTATAAACATACTGTCAAAAATTTATCAGGGAATATGAAAATGACCTTCTATGACGGTCCCTAGCTTAGGTCTCCCTGTGGGTCAAACCAATAGCACATTTCTATAAGAGATAAACTAATAACCATCAAATAACCCAAATTGTATCTTGTTATCTTGAAAAGTATTTTTGTTTTCTAGTTTAGTTTATTGATTAATGATGCAATATGATGAAACAGTATATTTCGTACCTAGGGCCAAAAATAAGGTTTTGCTGGCTCAAGATAATTTTTTATGATCTAGAGCTGCAAAACCCTTTCGGCCCGTAGTGAGAACGCTATTTTTCACCACACTATACGAAATTGAGAAAATATAGGCCTATAGAGTATGCACACTAACAAGTCATCCAACACAACAGCAACTTAAGGTTATGTGAAATATATATAGGAATCAGTAAAAATAATAATAGTTGCTAAGCAGCGGTGACAAAACAAGTCCATTGCAATGTATATATGGATACATTATTGTTTTAAGTATACAAGTGAACAGCAGATTTTCAGCCATAGGGCCGCATAAAACCTGCTCGGTCCCCTAATGACGATGACAGCTGGCATGGACTTAGCAATACTTAGCTTTCAGCCTCCAATTAATGTTTGAAAAATGGCTAAAAACATCTTAGTATAGGCAAAAAGTGTCTTCTCAACCCATGCTTATTTTCCGAAATCGTCTTTCCCTTGATCCTAAAATTTAAACTCAAAAAGAGTCACTTTACACCCTATTGATGAAATATACTTTAAGTGTCTTCTTATTTGCAGTAATTTAAATGCAAAGTTTGTTTGTATCATTCCTTTTAGCGAATTTCCCTATAGGGAAGTAGCTATTACCGTAGATCTCATGGTAAGACCTAGGCCCGGGACCGATTTAATTTTTCATTTTGAAGTCACTAGAGGCCAAAACACTATTCGTTCATATTTATATATATATATATATATACTAGCTGTACCCGCGGGCTTTGCCCCGTTTAACTTCATATGTGAGCTTGTTCGCATGGCTCAATCACGTCCTGGTTGAAATTCGTTCACTACGCTCACTCACGTTTAGGTTGGAGCTCGTTCGCTGCGCTCACACGTCCTGGTTGAAGTTCGTTCGCTACGCTCACTCACCTTTACAGTTGGAGCTCGTTCGCTGCGCTCACTTGCCTTCAGGTTAGCTCGTTCGCTACGCTAACTCACCTCCAGGTTGAAGTTCGTTCGCTACGCTCACTCACCTTTCGGTTTGAAATTAGCTGTTGTCAAATAAAAAAAAATAATAATAGTGTGCTGCATCTCGGTTGGTAATCCTTGTAACTTTAATGCTATTGAACATCATAGAACAGAACCAAACCAACTTGTTTAATTGAAACAGCTGTTAAGATTCATTAATTCCATTTAAATATGAGTACTCATTAGGTTAATATGGGAAACTCCAGAGCCACTGGGGCGGAGCCCTAGAGTCCGATCAGAATAAAAACTACTTCGTTTTCCTATTTAATGCCTAAAGAATCACTGTACCAAATTTCAGCCTCCTAGGTTAGTGGGAAGTGGGAGAATTAGTGATAAGTGAGTGAGTCAGTCAGTCAGTGAGGGCTTTGCCTTTTTAGCGAATTTCCCTATAGGGAAGTAGCTATTACCGTAGGTGGCATGGTAAGACCTAAGCCCGGAAGCGATTTACTTTTTCATTTTGATGTCCCCAGAGGCCAAAAACACCATTCGTTCAAATTTTTATATATGTATATATATATATATATAGATTTATATATATATATATGTGTCCGTGAACGCGATAACTTGAGTAATTTTTGTCCAATTTTGATGAAATTTGGTTTAAAGGTGTAAAGCGGGATAAACTTGAATGAGTTCGCGAACCAGCATGATCGGACCATGGGAACAGGGCTTTACGGGGGGTTTTATGGGGTAAAAATTGGTTTTTCTCACTTTTGACCCTCAAAACACAATGTTTCCCAATTTCTCTTTATACCTTTTTAAAGAGCTTAAAAAAACAAATAATTCAGTATATAAAAGTATTTTTGTACGGTTATTGGTAACGGAGAAAATTAAAAAAATTGTAAATTTAAAATTCCCATGTTATTCTTATGGAGAATATTGTAAAATGTTGTAGTTTGGTTGTTTATGGATATATTTTGATCAAACTTGGCAAACTTATTTTTTTGTACTAAGCTATTAATATTTTACTAAAAAACACACTTTATTAGTTTCCTTGTAGCAGCAAACCTAGGTACTTGACCTATAATGTTATTTAAATATATTTAATTGAAAATCAATTCAGACAAATGGAAATTCGCTTAGTTGTCAGGTTTGCTGCGACGGGGGTATTTATATATATATAGTAGTTATTTATAGTATATATGTGAGTCCGTGAAGACGATAACTTGAGTAATTTTATTCCGATTTTGATAAAATTTGGTTCAAAGGTGTAAGGCAGGATAAACTTGAATGAGTTCGCAAAACAGCATGATTGAACCATGGGAATGGGGTTTAACGGGGGGCTTTATGGGGTAAAAATGGGTTTTTCTATTTTTTACCCTTAAAACACAAAATTTATAATTTCTCTCAAGACCTTTTCAAAGAGCTTAAAAAAATTTTCATTTTAAATTCCCATGTTATTCTTATTGAGAATATTGTAAAATGTTGTAGTTGACTTGTTTATGGATATATTTTGATCAAATTTTATTTATTTTTTACTTTAATATAAAACACACCTTATTACTAATATAATGGTTTAATTACCTTCAGTCTCCAGTTCAAAATAAGTCGATTGCGACCTAGGTTTCAGCACAACGTCGTGCTGAAACCTAGGTCGCAATCGACTTATTTTGAACTGGAGACTGAAGGTAAAATTAAACCATTATATTAGTTATAAACCAGTTCAGGGGCAATTCCACATCTTATAATGTCAAAACTACACCTTATTAGTTTCCCTGTAGCAGCAAACCTAGGTACTCGCTAAACATAAATGTAATTTAATAGATTTTAATTGAAAATCAATTCAGGCAAATGGAAATTCGCTTAGTCGGGAGGTTTGCTGCAGCAGGGGTATTTCTTATTGATGTTTGCAATTACCTGGATATCAGCTGGCTTTTGTATGAATATCAGGGGCTTTGGACCGATCCAGTCACAAAACACACTATACTTGTGCTTCGCTGCTAGCCTTGTAACCTCGATGACATGCTTGGCAAAAGCTGGAGGCAGACATAATGTATTTCAGCTTTTTATACCCTTAATACATAACATTTAACTACCGTATATTTTGTGATATAAACAAAAATTTAAGGCTAGAATTATTTTAAGTATGTTTTTCTAAACGTCTTTGCAAAATTAAAAAATCTAAATTTTGACATAGTGGTAAAATTAATACTTGGTATAATCGTTATTGACAGAAAATTTGTAGTTTAGGAATCATTAGAACCAATGGATGACAACAAATAAATATAGTTATATTAATTACATCTCTCATACGCTAGTTACATATCGACTTAAAATAAAATGCATATACTTTCTGAATTATAAACGAGGGAATTATCCGAAGGACAGTAGTAAGTGCCGATGAGAGGTCGGATGGGGAAGGGGGTAGGCAGCTTCCGAGCCAACTCTTGCAGACGATGGTTCTTCCTTCGGTACAATGCATCCAAGAGGACAAGAAGTAGAACCAGGGAAACACAAACCAGAACGAGACTCCACTAAACATACCATTTATGCAGTTACAAGTAGTGTAGACATATATACACAAGGCAATATTTACTCAATCACTTCATAAAGCACTGTCACACTTTGAATACAAAGATGATTAAATTGAGATGGCCTGTGTAACTTTTGTTACTGACTCAGAATCTGAAACATTTGTTCTACATGGGTAAGATAAGCTGTTTCTCTATCCAGGGCAAATTATTAAAATTCCAACGATCAAGGACAGCTCTGTGTCCAGCTTTTACCATAAAAAAGCTGTTGACTTTTTCAGGAATCAAACTGAAGGCAACATTATGATTTTCAGGCAAGCATTACAACTGTTTGAAATCACTATGTATAATAGCCCTTGGAAAATCACAAAACTTATAGCTAGTACTATACTAGAAAGATTGAATTGGCAACATACATTTATCATTTCCTCAGCAATAATAAAGCTAGTTTCTAATTTTACATAATTACAATTCTAGAAATCGGACCCATCAAAAACCCACGATAAAATAAAATAAGTGTTAAACTTTTCTCCTCAAAAAGCTCAAACAATTTTACCAAGCTTACCATGGTGGATTCTTGATGAAGGCTGAATTAAGGAACTCCAACAGTAAAACAAAAATATCAACCAATACTGGTTCTTTCCTACAAATGGTTCTTCCTATGTATGGCGGGTGATACTGTAACTACTGTATTCTAGTCTCTTATCTTTTATCATTATACAAACACGACCAATTGAAAAAAAGGGAAAATGTAATCCCCTCTTATGTGAACAATGTTTCCTTGTAAGTTATGTATTGTATGCTTGCACAAAGATCTGAAAAAGTGAAAAACAACCTTTTTTCATTTACTAACCCATGCATATGCAATATTTAAATCTTTATTGTTTTTGTGTTACTTTGACAATTTCCTTCAAATGTTGTAAATAATTTTTTTCTGGCCTAAAAAGGTCAGAAAAAGGATTTTGCTTTACAGCTCATTTGAAAATTTTACATTGGCTTTATGTGTTGCCAAGTAATTATGTTGGTTAAACAAAATAACAAGGAAATGTAGTAACTTAACATGTGTTTTTATAACAAGTCATCTACTGTTACTATATTGAGCAAAGATCCTGCTGAAGATTACTCGATATAGGGGAAAATAGTTCCAATCAAATAATGATTATTTTAATTGACTCCCTCCTACCAAAACTAAATCCCCAAGTACTGAGGCAATTGTTGGTTTAACAGTGAAATAAATATTTAACAATATTATTTGATGTAAATTATAATTGAAACCAACAATTTCAATAAGCTGTTTTAATTTAAACAAACTGTCAAAAGATGTTAATGCAAGTATAGGTTATTATAAACGACAGGTTTTTGCTATCAACTGTTAGTAATAGTATATTTCGTACCTAGGGCCGAAAATGAGGATTTGCCGGCTCGAGAGGTGCAAAACCATTTCGGTCAGGTCCGTGAAGTTGGCGTACCCATATCAGCGTATCCACTTTTGATCATACCAATCGTTAGTTCATCGTTAGTTCTCGATAGTTCCCAAATTTTTTCGTTAGTTCTCAAAAAATAAAAAAGTTATAGCCGATAATAAGTGGGTACGCTAACTTCACACTTCCAGGTTCTAGCGCGCGCCGTTTTCTGATGAGAAATGTTTACATCTATATATCAATCGTTAGTTCTTCGTTAGTCCTCGATAGTTCCCAAATTTTTTCGTTAGTTTAAAAAAAATAAAAAAGTTATAGCCGATAATAAGTGGGTACGCTAACTTCCCAACTATACAATTTCCAGCGGGCACCGTTTTCTGACTATAAATGCTTATATCTATACACCAATCGTTAGTTCTTCGTTAGTTCTCGATAGTTTTCAAATATTTACGTTAGTACTCAAAAAATAAAAAGCTACGAGGCATACAAAGTGGGTACGCTAACTTCACAACTATACAATTTCCAGCGGGCACCGTTTTCTGACTATAAATGCTTATATCTATATACCAATCGTTAGTTCTTCGTTAGTTTTCGATAGTTCTCCAATATTTGCGTTAGTTCTCAAAAAATGAAAAAGTTACAAAGCATAAAAAGTGGGTACGCCAACTTCACAATTATAGAATTTCCAGCGGGCACAGTTTTCTAAATAAAAGTGCTCATATCTATATACCAATCGTTAGTTCTTTGTTAGTTCTCGATAGTTCTCCAATATTTACGTTAGTTCAATCGTTAAGTCAGCTTCAACTCATCAGGTGCAATTTTTTAATTTTTAGGGAATTTCCCTATAGGGAAGTAGCGGGGCGATGTCTACTTGTACCGGCGTCTAGTTGTACCTGCTGCATTTTGGTGACAGGCGTCTAGTTGTACCTCGTCCAAAGCTGTAGAGACAACTTGACGATGGTGCGGACGTCTAGTTGTCTCTACGTCTAGTTGTCTCTACGTCTAGTTGTACCTCTTAAAAATCTACAGGTACAACTAGTCGGGAACGTCACCGTCTACTTGTACCTCATACGTCTGCGTCTACTTGTACCTACGACTACTTGTACCTACGACTACTTGTACCTACGACTACTTGTACCTACGACTACTTGTACCTACGACTAGTTGTACCTACGCCTACTTATACCTACGTCTAGTTGTACCTGCGGCTAGTTGTATCTCCCCTTCAACTTGTCACCGGTTTAAGAGATTTATTTTATTTCTTTAAAAATCATACAATCTTACAACAATTTATTATAAACAACTTGCTACAAAAGCCAGGAAAATTTGGCTTGTCTGCAGCTCATTGAGAAACCCCTGTTCTTGACAACAACGTACTTGTGTCCCTTGGTCAGTCCTTATCCATATTACACTTTGGTTTTCCTTATTTCTTGTCAAGATCTGCTATCATTGTTTTTTCCACTTAAACTCTACCTTTCTATAGAAAACTAACATTAACTAACTTAAACAACAACTTTAAACAATTATCTTAAATAAATAAATTCAGAGTTTACAAAAACAAGTAATTGAATACTAGTGTACCTGTTGCTCGAATTCGAGCAATTGCGAAGCATTACAGGCGACTCAAAGATTATGGAAATACTCACGATCTACACAACAGTTTGATATAATCAAAATCTTTTGTAAATATCGTATCTTTTTTCAAAAAGATGATCTTGTTTTTTAGTGTTTTTAGTGTAAAAAAAACATTATTTCTATTTCTTTTACTTGGTTGTGTTCTATGACTTTTTCTATGTTTCCATTGTTTGCAAATCGGTTATTTAAATGATTGCTCAAGAAATGTAGCACAGTGGTAATTCAGTTTTATTTTTAGCCTATATCAAATTGTCCAAGATTTCTCGCTCTTTTCCATTGTAATAATTACACCAACCCAAGTTTTGTCTACAGATGCAATATGCCAAAGAATATCACCTACGTACAATCTCCAAGAAGTGGTAAAAAAGGCAGAAACCAACCCATACAATAGATATAAGTTAACTCCATAAGAAATAATTTTAAAAGTTACTGTGATATTAGGATTTTCCACTGATTTGGTAATAGAACATTATATTGCAAAACATGACACGATGCAGAAGAAAATCAATTTTAAAATCAGAAAAATCCATTGCAAATACTGTACTTCATTTTGACCAATTCACAATTTAAATATTAACAGCTGTTGCATTAAAAAGTAGTGTAGAATTATGCATATGGTCGTAATGTAAACAAATCTGAAGAGGCAACTTTAAAGGCTTCTGGGGCAGAGCCCCAAGGGAATTTACCTCTTTCCTCTTTTGATGGCTCATATACAGACCAAGACCTTCCTTTAGAGACCCCTACCAAGTTTCTACGCCCAGCCGTTCTCTCAAATTAGCTGTGACAAAAATCCCGTTTTCCTCCATAAGAATAACATGGGATGGGAATTTAAAGGCCACAGGGGAAGAGCCCCAAGGGAATTCACCATGTTTCTCTTTTGATGGCTCATCTACAGACTAAGACCTTTCTTAAGACACCTCTGCCGAGTTTCTACGCCCAGCCGTTCTCTCAAAATAGCTGTGACAAAGAAAAACAGTTTCAAATTAATATATAGATAATAAAGTGTTTTTGTACGGTATTAGTCACGGAGAATATTACTACAAGTTCAAATTAAAAATGTATATGTTATTCTTATGGATATTACGTAAACTGGCGTAGTTTGGTAGTTGATGCATATACTTTGACAAATTAGTTTATTTCACACTTAACTAGTAACTTTTCTAAAAAAAAAACATCTTAATTACCTTCTACGCAAACGTAATTAAAGCTCAGTATTGAAATACCATTTAAAAAAATAACCCAGATATGACTTTTTTTGCGCGCGCTTATTAGTTCTTAGTAAAACTAATCTTGGTTTAGTTGCAGACTACATAGCCAGTGACCTAGCTCAGTATAAAATTTAGTTTATATAGTTTAAATGTAATGAAGAAATATATAAAAAGAACAAAATAATTATGAATGTAAAAAATAATTTACATATAATTGAATTTAACAAGAACATGTATTCAAAGGGAAAAATATACTATAATAGAAATTAAGATTCAGTTAAGTTTAATCATTACGAGCTGTTGGCCCTTCCTACGTAATAGCTAAAGGTTCAGTTAAAACTTAAGGATAAATAAAGAAGCTTACTAATCCGTTTGGGTAATAATTATTTTTTTCATTTCTGGTAATAATTTCAAGATTCAAAACAGACTTATTATAAAAAAAATATATATATATATTATATTGTTAGAAATATACAGTATAAGGAAAATACAATTGAATGAACTCTATCAAACACTTATTGAAATTAAAAATGAAATAAAAATGTATAGAATATTGTAAAACCTAACTATTAATTTATTTCTTATTGAACTATCTTATATCTATTGTACTGGATGGTGTCTGCCTTTTTCACCACTTTTGCCTACATTTTATCATATTATTCTACACATATCAAATATTTATGTACAAATATCTGCTCTTATCATGTCCAATAAAATCCAAACATAGAAACATTGCCTAAAATGGTACCTATCTTGACAAATTATTTGCACCTGCCTATATTACGAACTTTGGCGCACTGGGTTGGTAACATTATTGAAAATAACACGACATGTTGGCTGTAAGATATGGTACAGAGAGAAAATACTATTTATGCAGCTACTGTCACGACAGAAAGGTCATATTCCATTTAAACTAGATCACATAATCCTTTATAAAATACGTTGATTAACAATATTTAAACGTCAATGTATACGTAACAGCCAATTTACAGTATTTTTTGTTTTTGGAAATGTCCCATTGCTATGTCATTTGCATTATTTGCTGCCAATAAAGTCAAAAGGCCGTATGAACTAGGAGGCTCCTAACAGTTCAAGAATAAAATCCAACTTCACTTCAAGTATTACACTACACCTAACATTCCGTAGAGAGATTATATTGACAACTTTATGTTATTGATAAGGCTGAGACAACTAACTGACATCCCCCATGTCAAGAAATTCCAGCTTCAACAGTAACCTCAAAATAAATTTCTCAAAAGTAAGCTAGAGGGTGCATTCGTTGGCACAGAAGTAAGATATGAACTGACGCGACGTGACGAAAGAAAAATCAAACTTACACTGTAACGGATATACCTCCCTTTGAATATGTCTTCCCAAAAAAAGTTTTCTTTTC